AGTGCCACATACCAGTGCCCATCAATGCCACATAACATTGCCCATCAATGCCACATACCAGTGCCCATCAATGCCACATATCAGTGCCACATACCAGTGCCCATCAATGCCACATATCAGTGCCCATTAGAGCTGCCTTTCAGTGCCAACTATAAGTGCCAGTCAGTGACGCCAATCAGTGACGCTTATCAGTGTCAGTCAATGCCACCTAACAGTGCCAGTCAGTGCCGCCTAACAATGCCAGTCAGTGCCATATACTGTATGAGTGCTTCCTTTCAGTGCCCATCAGTGATGCCCATCAGTGCAGCCTACCAGTGCCCATCACTGCAGCCTCAGCGCTCATCAGTAAAGGAGAAAATGACCTATTTACAAAAGTTTACAGAAACTAAGAAAAAACTTTTTTTCAAAATAAAAAAAACCCAGTGGTGATTAAATACCACCAAAAAAAAGCTCTGTCTCAAAAAAATTATAACAATTTTGTTTGGGTACAGTATTGCATGACAGCGCAATTTTCAATGAAAGTGCGACAGCACTGAAAGCTGAAAATTGGCCTGGGCAGGAAGGGGGTAAAAGTGATTAAACTTTCTACATCCAAAGGATGAATATGCAGTGTGAACACTGAGATCTGGTGTCAGATATAAACTCCATAAAAGCTTCTAAAAGTCAGTAGGCGGAGGTGAGGAGGGGCTGATCTGCATATTTATGGGAGCCTGACCAATCCCAGGCAGGAGGCCTGGCAGTGTGGCGGACCAGCTCATAAATATGATAGAGCCTGGCCAGCAGTGGGAGTCGGGTGGAAGATGAAGTGCTGAGAGGTGCTGCTGTGTAGCCTGGGAGGGAGCCCTGGAGAAGGGGGAGGAGAGCTGAACGATGGAGTTCTACTGCCCTGCAGTCCATCGTTGAAGGATAGCCTACATAGCTTGGAGAGGAACCAGCCCAGCTAGAAGGCCTGAAAGCAGTTCCATCCACAGCTGCAGGACAAGGACAGTGTGAGTACCTCTCCACCCCAGAGCCTATAGGAGACAAGTCTGCTGGAAGCAAGTTCTTGGCAAGTCTTCAGGGACAAGTCATAGCTTACCCAATCCCCTGTCCTGGGATCAGATACTGTAGCCAGGTGGTCTGGTATTTTGTTCACTTAGGGGAGTAAAAGCTCCTACAAGCTGGGACTTTGATGAAGATCCACTCAAGGGGATTTAGAACTCCTGCAAGTTGTCGCTTTGCTAAAGACGGTCATAGTTCCGACTGGAACAGTCACATATCTGCCATTATTTGTAGCAGCCTAGAGAAGGCTCATTTGTTGTTCTTCAGTCAAGTTGGACATCCCATAACCCCTTTACCCTATCCAAGTTAAATTCCCCATTACAAAAAAAAAAAAAAAACAAGGCCATCAACTGTTTCCTGTGTTCGGAACGCGCATGTTGCCTGGCAGTGCAGGAAGTAAAGGGGAACCCAAAACCAGCGGCTCTCAAGGGGGTAGCGCTACACCCTTGTGCCCCATAGTAGACCATCTAGACCAGTCCTCCGTGTTGGTTTCTGCTCCCAGATTCGTATACCAGGCTAACTTTGTCGAAGTAACCTGTAAGAGATTTCCAGCTAAGAGAAGATCGCCGCAACGCATGAATCTGTGCATGCGCAGGATCCCAAGGCATACAGGCAGGCACTAAGACCCAGGCGCACCTGTCACCAATGACGGCGCCGGGCAGGCACTAGGACCCAGGCGTGCCTGTCGGTGCTGGGCGGGCTATTTAAAGAGCACCTCGATGCTAATTCAGTGCTGACTGGTCTTCAGCTCCCCCCGTGTCCTGCTTGCTTCTGAACGTTTCCTTGTTGCTGACCTGGCTTGCTCCTGACCTGACTCCGACTAACTCTCCTGCTCCTGGTTTCTGACTCCGGCTCTGTTCTTGACTCTGGCTTCTCCTGCTGATTTTGTACCTCGCTGCCCGACGGTTGATGACCCTGGCTAGTCTATTACCCTGCTCCTGTCCTGTGTCCTGGCTACCTACATTACTCTGCTGCACATCGGGTATTGCCTAGAACCTGCTCTGCTTGCTATTCTGGTAACCAAATCAGAGGATACTCTGCCTACCAAAGTCATCATCTGCAAGAGCCGCAAACAACCACCACTGACGCTCTTGTCCCCCTGGTCCCTAGACTCCCTCTGTTCCAACCTCAGCGGGGTCAGGGCTAGTGACACAAGTGAGGCCGACCTCGTCATTTCAGTCTCCAATCAGGTACGAGACATAACCTTTGCCATTTTTAAAGTAATTTTGCATATATAAATTTTATCAAGCTGTCCTCTGGCTGGACATGTGACGTCCAAGGGTTCTTCTCCACCATTGAGTGGGCCTCAATACTGCATATTAGTGACCTTATCAGCAGCATCGTACTGTGAGCCCAGGAAGACGGGATGGTGCTTGGCATCATTCAACCGGCATTGGACACCAAGGCATTACGTTTTGCGAGAGACAAAACTGGTAAGGAAGGAACCTGGAGTTGAATACAGATGTGCCTAATGATGGAAGAGACCAATGACCAATGGAAGGACCTTTGGTGTTCTAGAGATTCTGTCTGGATGGGATGAGGATTGGAGGTGGTTGTGCAGTAAAAGAAACAAACAAGAAATTATATGCAAATAACACTGTTTTATTTGGTGTTTTTACTACATCTACATATAGTTACCGTCTAGGTTAATACTAATATACCACTTGAACAGGTTGGGTGATCCTGCTTTGCTATGACGGTGAAAGTCTTGTAGGTCCATAACTTCTTCTCCAAAGAGCTTCTCCTACCTGTGCCTTTTTTCCTAATTCTTAGCTCCAGCACCTGCTTATTGAGCTGAATTTGAGCAAGACCAGTGTGAAAACACAGACCACGTACCCCCTTGCTTTCAGGAACTATACTCCATAGTCCTCAGAGAAGGAGGAGAAATGGGCCAGGTGGCCACACTGCTCTATGAGAATCCTGCCGAGTTTGGTTGCCGTGGATTGTAAAAAGCACCAGTGAGAGGTAAATCTGCTGCACTTTCTGGAGAGCAATAAGTAGAATTAAAAAGTAAGAACTCCAGGAATGGGCTCCAGACATCATGGAGCCCATGGACCAGACGTGATGGCACATCTGGCAGGGCCGCAGTGTGGGGAGCGTGGCTCCAGGACTTTCGGTTTTGTTTCTGGTGTCTTGCACAGCTCCTGACAGTGGTATCTGCTTCCTGGCCCCTGAAGACACGCTGAGGTTCAACAGCAAATCACAATGGGTGGATTACATGCTCTTATCCTTATACGTCGAGAGTTAATTTTTAATAAAGTCTTTTCCTATATACTGCACTTAGTTGGTGCCCTCTGCTGTTTCCGATATTTCTATAGGAATATATGTATACATTGCAGAGATTACTTCAGTCTCATTGAGGACATCTTTGGACCTATGGACTTTTTGGTATAATCCTATACCCCCTACAGCACATTCTTGTGTATGATTAGGTTGTACCTTGGCTGTATCCCTACAAGCGCCATTCTCAATAATTCTCTGTGTTAAAAGACTTGGTAAATGTATTGAAAACAAATGGGAGGAGAGGAACCTCCAGATGGGGAGAGCTGTGCCACGTCGGTTATCTTTTCCCACACAGTGGGGTACCTCTGCACCCTCTGGAAAATACATTTTGGGCCAAGGAAATTACTGGTTAAAACAATTCTCTATGTTTGGAGCTCATGGATAACCCCCCTTCATTCTCTCCTGGTGTTAAAACAGTTCAGGGGTAATTAATTAAAATTCAACGTCCAGGCGCTAAAATTTTCTTCGATCCGAATCCTAAGTTTGTGGAATGATAGATTGTAGTCATAGTGTGTCTATCAGAAGTATATTAGGTTGCCCCATCAGAGTGCTCCCTTACATCAGGTGTCCCCATCAGAGTGTCCCTTTACATCAGGTGTCCCCATCAGAGTGCCCCCTTACATCAGGTGTCCCCATCAGAGTGCCCCCCTTACATCAGGTGTCCCCATCAGAGTGCCTTCTTACATCAGGTGTCCCCATCAGAGTGTCCCCTTACATCAGATGTCCCCATCAGAGTTCCCCCTTACATCAGATGTCCCCATCAGACTGCCGTCTTACATCAGGTGTCCCCATCAGAGTGCACCCCTACATTGGGTGTTCCCATCAGTGTGCACCCCTACATCAGGTGTCCCCATCAGACTGCACCCCTACATCGGGTGTCCCCATCAGTGCCCCCTTACATCAGATGTCCCCATCAGAGTGTCCCCTTACATCAGGTGTCCCCATCAGAGTGCCCCCTTACATCAGGTGTCCCCATCAGAGTGCCCCCTTACATCAGGTGTGCCCATCAGTGTGCCCCCTTACATCAGGTGTCCCCATCCGAGAGTGCACCCCTACATCAGGTGTCCCCATCAGACTGCACCCCTACATCGGGTGTCCCCATCAGTGCCCCCTTACATCAGGTGTCCCCATCAGAGTGCCCCAATAGATCAGTTTCCCCCATTAGAGTATCATTATAGATCAGTTGTGAACCATCACAGTGCACCTATAGACATCAAAGTGAACAGTATGCCTGTACCTGATGGATGTGTCCCTGAAGTCAGGCAGGCAGGGGGCGGGAGCTGGAGAAGAAGCTTTCTGCAGGTGGTGGGACACACACATGACGTCATTGGTTGCTAAGATGGCAGTGGTCCTAGCACCCAGTGACTGCTGAGCAGCAGGGATCTGGTGCTGCAGACTGGCAGGCTAACGGTCTGGACAGGAGCATAACTTGGTCCGGGTCTGGACCGCGGTCCACCACTTCATGACCACTGCAACAGTTCATCACCTTCTGGGAAAACTACTAAATTAGTCAGCCGAAACCAAGCTTCTATGAATACAGGGCTCAGCTAGACTTCTTATTAATGGCTAGCAACATGATGGATCACAAAACCCCTCGATCGTATGCTCCATACTCGATTGCGCATCAGCTAGTCAATGTCACTGTAGCATGAACACCATCAAGCACCCCCCTGATTTTACTTCTGCCCCAAGCACTTCCAACAGTCCATACATTGCAGTGCCTTGGTGCATCTTTCCCGGATATGAATCTTTTGGTGTTTCAGCAGAGCAGGTTTGTGTGTGAAGCACTTCCCGCACTCACCGCAAGGGAAGGGCTTCTCGCCGGTGTGGAACCGCTGATGCCGCACGGACGCCGACTTCTGTGTAAAGCACTTGCCGCATTCGGCGCAGGGGAAGGGCTTCTCGCCGGTGTGGATTCTGAAGTGTGTGACCAGATCCGCTTTGCGGGTGAAACACTTTCCGCACTCGGAGCACAGGTAAGGCTTCTCACCCGAGTGGATCCGCTGGTGTTGGACCAGGTAGGACTTGTGGGTGAACCCTTTCCCACAGTCCAGACAGGGGAACGGCTTCTCTCCCGTGTGAATCCTGCGATGGATGATGAGCTTTGATTGCTGGCTAAAATGCCTGCCGCAGTCCAGACATGGGAAGAACTTTTCACATCTCCGTACCATCCGGAATGGGATGGTGTTCAGTTTATCTGGAAACGTTTCTCCAGGGTTTCTGGGATCTGGTAACCTCTGCACCCCATGGAGTCCTAAGTGAAACTTGGAGGTAACAATTTGTGATCTATCAAGAGAAGAGTGTACAGGACTCAAGTCATCAGGTGATCCATCTACATTGTGAAGTCCCAGATGGATATTTGCAGCACCAGTACATGAGTTGTCAGGAGAATAACCCTGAGGGCTACAGGGATCGGGTGATTGATCCATGCCGGATAGTACTGTATGGATATTTTGGGTTATGGAGACATCTTCTGGAGAACTTTGACCAGAGTTTTCTCCTTCTAATTTAGAGAGTGAAGATAAAACAAGGCTTTCCTCTGGGTTATTTCCACAATTCTGTCCACCTGTGGAGATAAAAGACACACAGGTTGTCATACAGTAAAATAAGGGTGAAAAACATACCAACCTTGACATATAAGGAGAGATGGGTAATATTTCCAGTTATGAACTGTCACCTACAACGGGGTAATGAATTCAAATTCTGAGGTCTGATTGCTAAAATAATCTTCCATCCAAGGTCCGAATTTCAAGTTTGTGCTGTGACGAAAGATTGTAGTTGTTGTATGTCTTTCAAAAATATATCAGTTTCCCCAAACAGAGTGCCCCATTACATCAGGTGACCCCATCAAAGTGCCCCCTTACATCAGGTGATCATATCAAAGTGCCGCCTTACATCAGGTGCCTACCTCAAAGTGCCCCCTTACATCAGGTGCCTACATCAAAGTGCCCCCTTACATCAGGTGCCTACATCAAAGTGCCCCCTTACATCAGGTGCCCACATCAAAGTGCCCCATTACATCAGGTGACCCCATCAAAGTGCCCCCTTATATCAGGTGCTCATATCAAAGTGCCCCCTTACATTAGGTACCTACATCAAAGTGCCCCCTTACATCAGGTGCCTACATCAAAGTGCCCCCTTACATCAGGTGCTCACATCAAAAAAAAACCCTTACATCAGGTACCTACATCAAAGTGCCCCCTTACATCAGGCGCTCACATCAAAGTGCCCCCTTACATTAGGTACCTACATCAGAGTGCCCCCTTACATCAGGTACCCACATCAAAGTGCCATCTTACATCAGGTATCCACATCAAAGTGCCCTCTTACATCAGGTGCCTACATCTAAGTGCCCACTTACATCAGGTACCCACAAAGTGCCCTCTTACATCAGGTGCCTGAAGGGAAATGTATGTTCCTCGCCCTATATTCTGTCTTTTTTATATATACTCCATTTTGCTTCTCTATTTTTTATTTTGTCTAGATAATCAAATGTATAGTTGTGTGTGTTAGTTACGTGCTATAGAACTGCAGCCACTCATCCTTTTAAATCTAGCTTTGCTCAAGGCATGAAAAGTCACCACTTATTTCTTTGTACTAACAGCACCTGCTTCTGCTATGATATAGTTAAAAGTTAACCACTTTTGCTTTAAGGGAAAATACCGTTGGTTTATTATAATTGATTCAAGATCTGTGCGATATGAATTGTAATTGATTCAAGATCTGTGCGATATGAATTGTTACAGATGTCATGTACATAGACTTAACAAATTACTCAGTGAAATTCCATTCCATGTTCTCCTGTTACAACTCACTGTATATAAGGAGGAAATTGTGAATAAAAAATCAGATTGCTCTCTGGAAGACCTGGCGTGCATGTGTATTTTTCTTTCTCCCAGAGAGCAGCCTCATGGATCCAACGGGGCCTAAACCTGCCAGTGATCGATAAAGAAAAATCCCTTTCAGTGTCCACATCAAAGTGCCCTCTTACATCAGGTGCCTACATCAAAGTGCCCTCTTACATCAGGTACCCACATCAAAGTGCCCTCTTACATCAGGTGCCTTCATCAAAGTGCCCTCTTACATCAGGTACCCACATCAAAGTGCCCTCTTACATCAGGTACCCACATCAAAGTGCCCTCTTACATCAGTTGCCCACATCAAAGTGCCCCCTTACATCAGGTGGTCATATCAAAGTGCCCCCTTACATCAGGTGGCCATATCAAAGTGCCCCCTTACATCAGGTACCCACATCAAGGTGCTCACATCAAAATGCCCCTTTACATCAGGTGCCCACATCAGAGTGCCTTCTTAAATCAGGTACCTACATCAAAGTGTCCCTTTACATCAGGTGCCCACAAAGTGCCCCCTTACATCAGGTACCCACATCAAGTGCCCTCTTACATCAGGTGTTCCAGTCAGAGCACCCCTTTACAATAGGTGTGCACATCAGAGTGCCCCTTTACATGAAGTGCCCCAATCAAAATGCCCCTTTACATCAATTGCCCCCAGAGTGCTCCCCTACATCAGGTGTCCCCAATCAGAGTGCCCCCTTACATCAAGTGTCCCCATCAGAGTGCCCCCTTACATCAGGTGTCCTCAGAGTACCCCCTTACATCAGGTGTCCCCAGTCAGAGTGCCTCATTACACCAGGTGTCTTCTTACATCAGGTGCCCACATCAGAGTGCCCTTTTACATTAGGTGTCCCAATCAGAGAGCCCCTTTACAGCCGGTGTGCCTTTCAGAGTGCCCCCTTAAATCAGGTGTCCCCAGCAGAGTGCCCCTTTACATCAGGTTCCTCCATTAGAGTATCCTTATAGATCAGTTGTGATACATCATCTATAGACTGGTAAAGTGAACAGTATACCTGTACCTGATGGATATGTCCCTTTAGTAAGGCAGACATGGGGCAGAAGCTGGAAAAGAAGCTTGCTGCAGAGGGTGGAGCACACACGACCTCACTAGTTACTAGGAAGGCAGCGGTCCTGGCAACCAATGACTGCTGAGCAACAGGGATCTGAAGCTGTAGACTGGCGGGCTGAAGGTCCAGACAGGAGTGTCACTTGGTCCGGGTCTGGCCCACGGTCTGCCATTTTGTGACCACTAATCTACACATTCACACATGAAAGCCAAAATCTTTTTTTTTTTTTTTAGCAACATTGTCATCAGTAATGTTCCTCAACACAATCTTTATGACTTCCCGTTGTAAGTCATCACTGAAACCTTGTTGCTTCATTTTGGACTACTGTGGACAACATCTAACCATTAACACATCAACTCTGTGACCTCCCTGTGAAGAAGTGGTGTAGAAATGTGGACATTAAATTCGGTCATTTTGATTTTTTCCTGTGATTTAGATGATAAAATCTAGGTAATGTGAGTCAGTCTCCCAGGCCTGCGGGTGAAAATAACAAGGACAGGGGCTACAGACATAGGCTGATTCCTATCAACTGGTGTCAGAAGTGGGATTAAAGGTGTGGCCGGTCAGCTAAGCTGAGCCAGTCTTAATTTTACCTGGACTGTCCCCCTTTAAGACCCATGGATAGTAGCCAAAGTTTCCGTATGAGATTGCTGGATCTCGTGGGGAGTCTTTGAGGTTGGACCTCAAAGGGAATTCAGAGGTTTTTGGGAACCTCTGGGGAAAAACTGCCTAGGCTGGTATAATTGTGAATTCACAGAAGTCCTCATTTATTTTTGCCATTTTAGAAGTATAAGTGCTTTTTTGCTGTATGTTAAGAAACTGCAAATAGTTGAGGGATACCATATAAGGTAGTTCCGTTTCATCAGAAATGAAAACTATTCTCAGAAAACGAGAGAGAAGTTACAAGTGAAACTAACTGTTCAAACATCTAGAAATGGAGGCATTATACAAAATGGAAGACATATTTCTTTACAGTGACTCTAGGAGAAGATGAGAGGTTTGTATGGGGTGTGTTAAGGAGACCCTATGTCTTTATTAGTCCTTTCATTTGGTGCTTGGAGAGTATACAGATCTCCAGAGGAATGCACAGGAGTAACTAATGGAGGAAAGCCAGTCTTATAGAGGCTGATGGCTCCTGACTCCCCCACTGGGCACATACTGTCCCCCCATTAGTGTCTACTGACAGAGAAGGGGAGAAGAAGAGATTGTTGTAGCGACTAAACATGGAGAATATAGGGATCTCCCTGATTTGATGTTTGTTGCTTACCTATGCTTATCTCCACGTCAGTATCTTCCTCTTTGCACCGTTGCTCGCTCCCCATGTATATCTCCTCTTCATCAATGACTTCAACTTTGATATTAATGAGGTCTACACCCTACAAGGTAGAAAAAAAAAATCAAGTTTGGGTTTTTAAAAGAAAATGTTTTTTGAAGATCTGAAGAACTTTTCAATGACGTCACTTCATTGGGACCTTCAGCTTCCACCTACTTGATGATGGTGAGGGATCTCATGATGTCCCTGTGTAGAATCCCGGGAATAGAGAGGACGGGAACATCTCTCTGGTGGGTTCCCATTACTGGATCCATCTGTAGGAAACACACACACTGACTGAATCCATTTTTTCTATGTGTTTATCAGATGATAGGTAGATCCTCTGTACTGCTTTCTCCTTTACAATAAAGTCTCCTCTTACCTGGTAAAGCAAGAGGTGGTCCGTTCTCCATCATGATGTCATTCTGTTCCTCCAAATTCTTCCATTCCTATGTTGAAAAAAATAGACAGTGATATCCTGACACCTTATAGGAACCTGACACACACAATGATACAGTCACCATCCAGACACATCCCTTGTCTGTTACTGGAGAATGTCCCAGAATTCCCAGCACCGCTCACCTCTCCTATCAGCAGCTCAATGATCTTCTGGGTAACTTCTAGGATCTTCTTATCTATGTTTCTTTTGGATATCACTGAGCAAGGTGGAGGTACTGACTGTGGTTTGTCATGTTTACCAAGTGTCTTCTTCACAACTGTGTAATCCTGCAATAACAAATATTATGTTATCAGCTGAATGTCAATGAAGTGATATAGCTTCCAAAAAGACATTCTCAGGATCCTTCACCTCTCCGATTAGGTCTGTGTTTTAGTAATAGAGATAAGAGTGACGTCATGTGACCTCCCAGAATCCTCCTCACCTCTCCGGTCAGGTCTGTGCTTTATTAATAGAGATAAGAGTGATGTCATGTGACCTCCCAGAATCCTCCTCACCTCTCCGGTCAGGTCTGTGTTTTATTAACAGAGATAAGAGTGACGTCATGTGACCTCCGAGAATCCTCCTCACCTCTCCGATCATCTCTGTGTTTTATTATTAGAGATAAGAGTGATGTCATGTGACCTCCCAGAATCCTCCTCACCTCTCAGGTCAGGTCTGTGTTTTATTAATAGAGACAAGAGTCATGTGACCTCCCAGAATCTTCCTCACCTCTCCGGTCAGGTCTGTGCTTTATTAATAGAGATAAGAGTGATGTCATGTGACCTCCCAGAATCCTCCTCGCCTCTCAGGTCAGGTCTGTGTTTTATTAATAGAGACAAGAGTCATGTGACCTCCCAGAATCTTCCTCACCTCTCCGGTCAGGTCTGTGCTTTATTAATAGAGATAAGAGTGATGTCATGTGACCTCCCAGAATCCTCCTCACCTCTCCGGTCAGGTCTGTGTTTTATTAACAGAGATAAGAGTGACGTCATGTGACCTCTGAGAATCCTCCTCACCTCTCCGATCATCTCTGTGTTTTATTATTAGAGATAAGAGTGATGTCATGTGACCTCCCAGAATCCTCCTCACCTCTCCGGTCAGCAGGTAGATGATCTCAAAGGTGAGGTCCAGTATCTTCTCTGTGATGACACTCCGCTCCTTCTCCATTATAACTGGTGCTCAGCCTTGGTCTTCAAAAAGAGACTACCACTCCTGCAGGCAGAAACATAGGTTAAGTGGTGAATCAGTGTTCTCTGTACAGCGCGGCAGTATATGTCAGAACTATATGCATGTATATTAATAATAATAGTGTGTGACTGTGGGGGGGCATTAGAGTATAAGCTCCTCTGTTACAGAGACTGATGTGACTGGCTCAATGTTCTCTGCACAATGCTGTGATATATGTCAGAGCTACATAAATGTATAAAAAAAATAGTGTGTGACTGTGGGGGAGGGGACATTAAAGTGTAAGCTCCTCTGGCACAGAGACTGATGTGACTGTGGGGGGGACATTAGAGTGTAAGCTCCTCTGGTGCAGAGACTGATGTGACTGTGGGGGGAGGGGACATTAGAGTATAAGCTCCTCTGGTACAGAGACTGATGGGACTGTGGGGGGAGGGGACATTAGAGTGTAAGCTCCTCTGGTACAGAAACTGATGTGGCTTGCTCAGTGTTCTCTGTACAGCGCTGCGGTATATGTCAGAGTGATAAAAAACTAAAACAATAATAACATAATAATTAATACTCAGGATGATAATGTTATGGTCTAAGCTGCCTTCTGCTATAGCAGTCCACTGTACACACCTTATAACCAGCATTATAATCACCTGAGACACTACAGATTTAAAAAAAGGATTGCCCTTACCCTCTGCCAGGAACATCAATGTCTCCTCTCTCCTCAGGCTCCTCCCCTGACCTGGAAATGATCATGCCTCACTTCCTGTTCAGCTGACTCAATCATTTCCTGTCTAGGCCACACCCCTGTCCTCTGGGAAGTGCTAACCATATAAAGAAGCAATTTGCAACTCTAGGAGGAGGCTGGGAACAGCTGTCTGCTAGAATGCAGCCATTTTTTAGGAGTCCATATTAGTAGTTCTTTAAAGTGGTGCTTCAGTCTCCCCCCCCCCCCCCCCCCCAAAAAAAATGAAGTCAGTAGCTACAAATAATGTAGCTGCTGACCTTTAATATAAGGACACTTACCTGTCCAGGGATCCGGCGATATCCTCACCCGAGCTGAATCTTGAATTGGCTTAGGGCGCAGGATTTGGCATCTTGTGTAAGGGAAGCCGGCGGTAAAGCCTTCTGGATTCAGAGGCAGATTCCTGCTGTGCTGCGTGGTTGGTCCCGCAGTCTTCTGGGACATGCATGTGCCCCAGAAGGCAGCGGTGGAAAGGAGGAGGGGTCGAAAGATCGCAGAAGAGATCTTACACGGAAGTGGGTACCTGTCTAAACCAGCTGCCCCCCTCCTAAAAAAAAAAGTGCCAAATGTGGCAGTGGAGGGTGGAGGATGCAACCCTTTTGGGTTGGAAGTTCAATATTTTGAATGGAGCTATTTTCAACCTCTCTTATTTTGAAGGGTCCAAAAAAAAACCATTGGGCATGACACTGCCAATCCATTTGGATCTTTCAGGGGTTGTCCTTTGGTTTAGTTTCAATCGTCTCCAAATCAAGTGGTGCACTAGGGTTGTCACCTCATCCCTTTAAAACCGAACACATATTGATCTCAATACAATCGAACAGTTGTGGGATGTGCTGGAAAAAATAGTAGTAGTGGCCTCTTTCAGCAGGATAATGCACCCTTCCACAGTGCAAAAATAGTTCAAGAATGGTTTGAAGAACACAACAACCCTTGGACCGGTCAGAGTACCCATGCTGACTCATGTCCATAGCCAATAGCTCCTACAATAGGCACATGAGCATCAGAACTGGACCACGGAGCAATGAAAAGAGGTGGCATGGTCTGAAGAATTCAAGAATGGTTTGAGGAACACAAGTTTAAGGTGTTGACATTGCCTCCAAAGTTTCGAGATCTCAATACAATCGAACATCTGTAGGATGTGCTAGAAAGACAAGTTCGAACCATGGAGGCTCTACTTCGCAACTTACAGGACTTATAGGATCTGCTACTGACAGCTTGGTGCCAGATACCACATCATACCTTCAAAGGTCTAGAGCCATCTATGAATCGATGGGTCAGGATGTTTGGGTGACAAAAAGGGGATCTACTCAATAAGTGGGTGTCATAAAGTCATGGCTGATCGATGTATAGTTTATCTAGTCACCTTCATCCATTTTTACAGAGCCATCATTTCCAGGAAGCGCGGTTTGGAGCAAAACCAAATTTCAGCATAGGAAAGAATGACTACCTTTCCCACCAAAAATATTTTTCAGCAAGTTTATGTTCTTTAATTTCAAGGCTCTTCCAACGTACACTGGCAAAAACCCCAGCTTTGCCCTTCTCACCCATTTTTCAGCCCATCTGTTGTCAACTTAAAACAGAACTATGGGTGAGGAACTGCTTTAAAGTTCGAGAAGTGCTGCTTGGTAAAATTATATAAAGCACACAGACTACATTAATTTACATGTTTTTATTAAGTAATAAAATAGTCAAAATCTTTAAAAGTCATTAAAAATTTAAACAAATGCCAACATATTTCTACCAAGAACCAAACAAAAGGACAGTAAACGCATACAATCAATAGAAACGAAGTATGGAAGGTAAGTGGAAACTACTGCCATTTTGGCACTTTCTCAAGTCATGCTGGAGAGTAAAGTTGGGTTTGATGTTTGAGTCGAACGTAAGTTTGCTTTGGCCAATCATAGCATATGCTGATGTCACCGGGTGACCCCACCCCTTAGATATTTAAGAACAGTCAGGCTGGCGCAGCTATCAGACGGCGGGAGCCAGCATCGAGAGCGGAGCAGGGTTTTTCTTTTTTTTGGGGTGGCGGTGGTGGCGGGTATCATGATTGGATCTACTTCGGGGGAATTTTTTTTTTATTTTTGTATTTAATAAAGGAATTGTCAAAGACTGTCTCCTGTAATTTTTTACTACATTTTTTTTTTTTGTGAATGAGCAGCGTTACCCCAAACTCATTCACATGAGGGGGAGGGGCGGGATCTGGGGGCCCCCTTGTTTAAGGGGGCTTCCAAATTCCAATAAGCCCCCCGCCTGCAGACCCCCACAACCACCGGCCAGGGTTGTGGGGAAGAGGCCCTTGTCCCTATCAACATGGGGATGATGTGCTTTGAGGAGGGCAGCCCCCCTGCCCCAAAGCACCCCCAGATTTTGAGAGCATGTGGCCTGGTAAGGTTCAAGAAGGGGAGGGGAAGCTTGCTCATCTTCCCCCCTTTCCTGACCTGCTGTGCTGCATGCTCAGATAAGGGTCTGGTATGGATTTTGGGGGGGACCCCCACAGCATTTTGGGGTGGGGGTTCCCCTCAAAATCCATACCAGACCAAAAGGGCTCTGTATGGCTCTCTCTGCAGCAGCTGAAAGCCAGCGGGAGGGAAAGAAGAAGCGAGCATTCAGCTGCTGCAGAGAGAGCCATACAGGGGATCGGTTCCAGAGATTGCCCCACTCCTATGGCGGTCACAGTCCCTGCCCACATCCGATTCACCCAGCTGCCTAGGCCCCATATAGGAGGACTGGTGATACCCCCTTATCCATGACCCTGTGTGTGGCCCCTTGATGATGTCAGGGTCTGCACGTAGAAAGTTGACCCAGCTGCCTGGGCCCCATATAGGAGGACTGATGGTACCCCCTTATCCACGGCCCTGTGTGTGGCCCTTTGATAATGTCAGGGTCTTCACATAGAAAGTTGACCCAGCTGTCTGGGCCCCGTATAGGAGGACTGGTGGCACCCCCTTATTCATGGCCCTGTGTGTGGCCCTTTGATGATGTCAGGGTCTGCACGTAGAAAGTTGACCCAGCTGTCTGGGCCCCCGTATAGGAGGACTGGTGGCACCCCCTTATCCACGGCCCTGTGTGTGGCCCTTTGATGATGTCAGGGTCCTCACGTAGAAAGTTGACCAAGCTGCCTGGGCCCCGTATAGGAGGACTGGTGGCGCGCCCTTATCCACGGCTCTGTTTGTGGCCCTTTGATGATGTCAGGGTCCTCACGTAGAAAGTTGACCCAGCTGCCTGGGCCCTGTATAGGAGGACTGGTGGCACGCCCTTATCCACGGCTCTGTGTGTGGCCCTTTGATGATGTCAGGGTCTGGAAGTAGAAAGTTGACCACCACTAATATAAAGGACCAGCCATGAATAACTCTCTATACTAAGGATCAGGTCACTCTAGGCTCTTGACCTATGGATAAATAGTCAGTATCTTTCTAAACGATGTTCTGGTTCTTCCCCATGTTGAACATTTTTACATTGAGCAGCAACGGTCATCCCTCTACATGTCATGGGTGAAGTTCCTTGAAGCCCACTGAATTGCCCATTTTACTATTCCTATTAATGAAGCTTCTGGTGTTTAACTAGATGTACTTTCTGTGTAAACTGCTTGCCACACTCTGAACATCGAAATGGTTTTTCTCCCGTGTGAACCCGTTGGTGTGTCAGCAATGCCCCCTTTTGCAGAAATGTCTTCCCACAATCGGTGCAGGAAAAGGGCCGCTCAAAAGTATGAATCCTTTGATGGGTGACAAGCATCGACCTGAACCGGAAAATTTTCCCACACTCCATGCACTCGATGGGCTTCTCTTCTCTGTGACTCTCCTGATGCTTGACCAGAGCCAACGGGTCCCTGAAACATTTGACACAATCCAAGCACCATGAAGCCTTTTTGCCAGAATGCGTCTCTTGATGCTTGGCCAGAGCTGCGGGATTTTGGAATCCTCTTCCGCACTCACCGCACCAAAATGGTTTCAGGTTTTTGTGTACTCTCTGGTGTTTGACCAGCCCGACTTTTTGTATAAAACCCTTCCCACAGTCTGGACAGGTAAAGGGACACTCGCCTGTGTGGGTCTTTTGGTGCACAAGAAGACCCACCTTCTGCGCAAACTGTTTCCCGCAATCAGAGCAGGTGAATGGCTTCTCTCCCGTGTGAACTCGGAGATGCACAATCAGTGCGGACCGATGACTGAATTGCTTGCCGCATTCACTGCATTCCAGAAGCCTTTCCAGGGCTTTCTCACGTTCTGTCAAAGGTGGCGTATCCATCACATGTTGCCCGCGTCTGGAGCGCAAATATGGGCCCTCTCTTTGGTGGTTTGCCAGACCTGTTTTGTGGGTAAGAGGTTTTCTGCGCTTTGTTTTTTTATGTTTTTTCTGGTGCGCAATCAAAACCGGTTGGCTTCTAAAACATTTCTGGCACTGAGCACATTCATAGGGCTTTTCTCCCGTGTGGGTTCGCTGGTGGTTTTCAAGAGTAATTTTCTGTGCGAAGCGTTTATCGCAAATCGGACAGGCGAAGGGGCGTTCTCCCGTGTGGATCCTCTGATGGGTAGCCAGTAGCGATCTATAGCCAAAAACATTTCCCGCACTCGGTGCACTGAAATGGCTTCTTGGTGGAGTGAACCATTTGGTGGAGGTCAAGTTCTGCCTTCTGAGGAAAACACATTCCACATTCATAACAAGGGAATATTTCACCACCACTAGGTCCATGGCTAGGTTTTGTAAGAGTACCAGGAAGGGGTTCCTCAAGGTCAGAGATATCTGAGGATCTATTCACCCCATCATGTCCTTGGTGGGTATTTGTAGTACTGGGGTTTCCTTCTCTTCTGACGTCCTCTATTTCTGCCTCAAAGTCTGAAGGCGAAATGACATGTCCATCTTCTAGGAAAAAAAGCACAGGGACCCAGTCAAGCTAAAAAAAAGTTAAAGTCCATCAAAGTTTTGCATTTCCTAAGCAGTACCAGTCAGATCATGTCCTCCATTTTATTGCTCTACCAGTAATTCACGTAATTACAACCAGAGATAATGGGGTAGATTTACTAAAATTGGACAGTGCAAAATCTGGTGCAGCTCTGCATGGTAGCCATCAGCTTCTAATTTCAGTTTGTTCCATTAAACTTTGGAAAAAAAATGGAAGCTGATTGGTTTCCATGCAGAGCTGCACCAGATTTTGCAATCTCCAGTTGTAATAATTCAACTCCATTGAGTCTAATGAGTATGGTGACCAGTTCTACAGTTACTCTTGCCTACAGTCCATTTTTGGTCATCTTACCTGTAAGCAAGGGTAGATGGGTGGCACTTCCTCCATGCCTCTCTCCTCGCTGGGTGCCAAGTACAGGCCTCATAGAGGGGCCTACCCCAGGTTGGTTCTTGAACAGAGTTACTGCCTTGCACATGTGGTACCTTTACTGTGCCGTGCTCATCAATGCCCCAGGACAAGGCAGTTGCTTTCAGGGCTAACTCAAGCTTAAGGAGGACCTCTAACATTAGAGATGGCAATACCTTATTGTGCACTTGACCAATAAACTGTACTCCAGTTAAATCTCTCATCCCCATGTCAATGAACACCTTCTCTGTCACTGTTGTATTTAGGGACACGATGACCTTATGCCCACTTCACCTGTCCAGCGTACCTCACTACCACTACTGGAATGGGGCCCCGCCAAGCACCTAGCATGAAATACATATGTGCTGTGCATCAACCTGCTGGGCGCCAAGTACCTCTGCACAGGCCGGGGACTTCTGCAGTGCAGATCTGTTCCGATTGCTATGGGAGATGGACCGCTCACGGGCAGAGTGCCGACAACAACTCCCATGCTGTAAGAAGCTGTCCCACTTATCACAGGTACACACTTATGACAGACTGATCCCAGGCTGCTTGTGGCTGCCCCAGCATACCTGCTCAGGCAAAAGTCCACATTGGCAATATCCAGAGCTACTATCGTTAGGGCAGACTGCAAGTCCCAGCAATCCCTCTACATGGTGGATGTGACAGCAGGCAGGCTTGCTCTCCAAGGTGGAACTGCTCCCTCTTCTCTCTAAGCTGCTTGGGATTACATGCTGTGGTTTGTCTGTGTCTTTCCTTCCCATGCAGACTGTCTGAATCTGGGCAGAGCCCTCCCCCCTTTTAACATCAGTACAGGGAGAGTGTGTTGCTTTCCTCACTGGATGGAGGGTGTGGGTCCTCGGGCATGCCCTGATGTCTAGGGGGGACGTGTGGCCCTCAGTTTCCTTCCTCCCCTGATCCTTGGGAGGGTGTCTCTTCGGGAGAGCCCCTTGACCAAGTACTTGGTGGTCGGCTTTGGGTGATCACAAGGAAAGGGGTCCGGCAGGCCTTTTGGCTAGGTGGACCAAGCTGGAAACCTTTGTCCCTGTCAGGAACCTTGCGCCCTGGGGGAATCAGTGTAGAGGTCCTACCGCTTTAGGGGGTGGACTAAAGGCACACCCTAAGTGCACTTTTTTGTGTTGGTGTTTTTGCACTTGCACCTTTTTTGTAGAATTATCTGGTTTTTAGTTTTGCGAACTTCCGTGGATTAAAGAGAAATAAAAATCAGCACAGGGAGAGAGGCAGAGCTCAGCAAAAACCGCGGGAAACAGGTTCACTCTTTCTCTCCCAGGTGGGGCAGCAGTTTTCCCAGAATTTCAACCTGCTTATACACCCTTCTGTAGCAGAGAACACTAAAAGTCTCACCACCCCTACTTTGAGGATCTTGATATATGATAGCGGTGAAGGAATTTTCTCTTCTATTGGCTAAAAATGTGTTTTTAAATTTAGGTATGACAATGTATAGGTAAGAGATTAAAGCACAAAATAAAAGGGAAACCAAATAAATATTTCTCCAACATGTATCACTCACCTATGCTAATCTCTGAGGCAATTTCCTCCTCCAAAGATGGGTCATCATTATCCGTCTCAACTTCATTAACAGCTTTCTTTGTAGTCTGGGTTTCACCCTAAAAAATCCACAAAACAACTTTGTAATTAAATTAGTAACCCAACACAAAACCAGCATTGTTGGGTCACTTCGGTATTTGGCCGATTCCTCAATTCCACCTACCTGATGATGGTGGGGGATGGTGAGATCTTTCTGTGTGGAATCCCGGGAATACAGAGGACGGGGACATCTCTCTGGTGGGTTCCCATTACTGGATCCATCTACCTGATGATGGTGAGGGATGGTGTGACCTTCCTGTGTGGAATCCTGGGAATACAGAGGACGGGGACATCTCTCTGGTGGGTTCCCATTACTGGATCCATCTGTAGGAAACACACATACTGACATTGTTTCTATGTGTTTATCAGATGATGGGGGATCTAGGTGGACCCTCCGTACTGCTCTCTCCTTTACAATAAAGTCTCCTCTTACCAGGTGATGTGAGGGGCGGCCGCTTCTCCATCATGACGTCCTTGTAGAGGTCCTTGTGTCCTTCTAGATACTCCCACTCCTCCATGGAGAAATAGACAGTGACATCCTGACACCTTATAGGAACCTGACACACACAATGATACAGTCACCATCCAGACACATCCCTTGTCTGTTACTCGAGAATGTCCCAGAATTCAAGCATCACTCACCTCTCCTGTCAGCAGATCAATGATCTTTTTGGTGACCTCTCGAATCTTGTTGTTTTTTTCCAGTGTCAGGGAAGGAGGTGGAGGCTCCATGACGGGGTCCTTGCTCTTGCTCCAGCTTCTTGATACAGAGGGACTGCTGCGGAGGGTCATATGATCACGAATCTTCTTCAAAGGTCCATAATGCTGCACAAGTCAAAGGAACATACAATGGTAAAAATAACCAGGGATTTTTTTTCAGCCAGACCATGGCAGAACGCCACCTCCACCTAAACACTGTGCACCTCTCCTGTATGGGGTGCACTGTATGGGGAAAAAACAAGCCACGGGTGTGAGAAGTGCTAGAGCCAAGCATGTGGAAGATGGTGGAGATCTGGGGGGGAAGAGATTATGGCAGTGGAGAGGGGTAGTGTGCAGAGGTGAAAGATTGGGGGGGGGGGGGGGGGGGGTGAAGAGGTCAGAGCTGAGGAAGGGTGCAAAAGTGAGATGTGGATGGGGGATGAAGAAGTAAGGAGTTTTGGGAGTGGGTGAACCCTGCACACTTTGCTTTGCGCACTCCTGAACACTGTATGTAGTGCGCTCCTGAACCCTGCATTCTGTACGTAATGAGCTCCAGAACCCTACAATCTGTACGTAGTGCGTTCCTGAAACCTGCACTCTGTACGTAGGGCGCGTCTGAACCCTGCACTCTGTACGTAGGGCGCGCCTGAACCCTGCACTCTGTACGTAGGGCGCGCCTGAACCCTGCACTCTGTACGTAGGGCGCGCCTGTACCCTGCACTCTGTACGTAGGGGGCGCCTGCCTGCACTCTGTACCCTGCACCCTGCACTCTGTACGTAGGGCGCGCCTGAACCCTGCACTCTGTACGTAGGGCGCGCCTGAACCCTGCACTCTGTACGTAGGGCGAGCCTGAACCCTGCACTCTGTACGTAGGGCGCGCCTGAACCCTGCACTCTGTACGTAGGGCGCGCCTGAACCCTGCACTCTGTACGTAGGGCACTCCTGAACCCTGTGCCCCGTGTGTGATGCACTCCTGAAGCCTGGATACTTCTGAACATTGTACCCTGCATGCAATGCACACCTACACATAATGCACTCCTGAACTCTACACACTGTGTGTGATACACTCCTGTTTTTTCCCACTGTTCAGTTCGGCCATACCCACCATATGACGCGGCACAATTCTTTATTTCCCTGCGGGCAGGGAGCGGGGAGCAAGAGGGGGGAATTGGGGGTCCATGAGTTCCTGTGCCTATTCTTCAACAAAAATAGCCCTGAATATAACACAGTAATTTGGATCACTTCTCCTTAAAACTCTCCTTAATCCGATTACATTAGGTCTTTTATAACTATAAGTGATGTCATGTGACCTCCCAGAATCCTCCTCACCTCTTCGGTCAGGTCTGTGTTTTATTAATAGAGACGAGAGTGATGTCACGTGACCTCCCAAAATCCTCCTCACCTCTCCGGTCAGGTCTGTGTTTTATTAATAGAGACGAGAGTGATGTCACGTGACCTCCCAGAATCCTCCTCACCTCTCCGGTCAGGTCTGTGTTTTATTAATAGAGAGAGATGAGAGTGATGTCATGTGACCTCCCAGAATCCTCCTCACCTCTCCAGTCAGCAGGTAGATGATCTCCAGGGTGAGCTGTAATATACTTTCTGACACGTGACTCTGGTCCTTATCCATCCTGGGGTCTACCATCACACAGTAAGGCTCCTGAAGACAGAGAATGGAAAATATATTATACACAGAATTATTTTAAACAAAAAAAACCCAATTATTATAATATTAAGTCGCCATTGACCAATGCACACCCCCTGAAATCATAAATCAGGCTGTAAGTGATTATGCAAGCAATGATTGGTTGCTCAGTTTGAAGCCAACTGTGTATGAAATGATAGTATTTAGATCAGGAGATCATGGTCCATCCATCCAAGACCACCCCACACATCGCATTCGTGTTCTTACCGTACATCAGTTCACACCATGAGGAGCTAGACGTGTCTGGAAGCGAGACCTGATTGTGTCTTCAGTATTACATACATGTAACATCTTCTGGTCGCTCATCGGACTTTACAATGGCGCTCCATGCTACGATGACGTAGAGTTGGTTCAAGGGGTTTTTTTGCGGT